CCGGTCATGTGCTTGGAACATCCGCTATCAAGGTACCAAAGTACACTTGATGCCTTCAAGCATACCTACAAAGATGATTTAATAAGATTTAGGTACCCAAGTCTTTTTGGGTCCTTGAGTGTTAGGTGCAAAGTGGTAGTGTGATTCATTTTGTGCCCAATGCCTATGCCTAGTAAAGCAAACGGGAGCTATATGTCCTACCCTATTGCAATAGTGACAAACTACGTTTGGGTTATGCATCCTCCTAGGTTGATAGTAGTTGCTAGGGGGCCTGACCATATTCATCCTGTTTTGAGAAAACCTTGGTTTTTGAAAATTTTCCCTTCTATGTGTTCTAGAATTATTTTGTCTATTTGAAAAATTATTTTTATGCATAGAATTATTTTGATAACTTTTCCTAGGTTGTCTATCATGCGCATTTCATTCCTAGGTTTTTGTCTAGGTTGTCTAGTGTCCCTAGGTTGACTAGGTTTTCTATTATCCTGATTTTTAACTTTCTTATGTTGAGCCTTAGGAGGTTTTCTAGGTGTTGGCTCAACGTTTTTATCCTTAGATTCGTTGTTATCAAAACCTATTCCTTCCTTAGAAAAATGCATGGTGTCTAGAAGCAAATTAAGATCTTTGTGTGGTGTATTAAACTTCTTAACCGTACTCTCTAGTTTTGCAACTTTTTCTTTTAAAGTTTTGCAAGATTCACATTCACTTGAAGAACTTTCTGGTTTGTCAGCGCTTCTCTTACCATAAAATTTATTTTCTTGTCTCAACCTTTCATTATCTTTTTCCAATTTGTCAAAATCATTTTCAAGAGTTGAAAGGCGTTTCTTTAAAGATTTGTTGGTTTTAGAAGCGCTAACAAATTCATTATAAAGCTCATGAAGTGCTTCTTGCATTTCTTCAAAAGTATAAGAGTCAGAAGAAATGGTACATACCTCTTGGATGTTGTCGGTTTAATCTTCGTGCGCCATGAGGCAGAGGTTGGCGGCTTCCTCCTCTTCCTGATCCGTTGACTCATCCCCGGAGTCGCCTCCCCAAGAGATGTAGGCGCGTTGCTTTTTGAAGCCAGGTTTGTCCTTGCCGCCTTTGCTTTTTGGACACCTCGGCTAGATGTGGCCTATCTCACCACATCCATAGCACTTCGGGGGCCCGTCGTGCTTTCTTCCTTTTCTTTCAAATTCTTTCTTCATGAATTTGTGGAATTTCTTGATGACGAGTCCGAACTCGTTGTCATCATCGCTTGAGTCTTCTTCCACGGACTCCTTGGTTGCTTTCAGCGCTATACCTTTCTTCTTTTGTTCATCCAAAGACGGGGTTAGGATAGTAGATTCATAAGTTTTGAGATTACCTCTTAGCCCGTCGATGGTGACATTTGAGACTCCGATGGATTCATAAATTGCATCTGCCTTTGATCTCCATTCGGGTGTGAGGCTTCGCAGGATTTTCCTCACGAGATCCCT